CCCCCCCCAGAGTCTCCACTTTATGCATTTTTCAAATTTGTGTTGGAAGCGGAGTTATCCTTTCACCGGGGGGGAGTTCCACTTTAAATTACATTTTTATTTGGACAACCAAAATGTTGTCCTGTTGTCCCCCCGGCATGAGAGGCCGCCACCACAGTTAAAAAGAATCCTAGGGGAAACCCTRCAGCATGTTGGAGTAGCTATGCTACATTCATTCTGAGATATGTAATTAGGTACTATTCGCTCCAAGACACTTGATGAATTTGACTCATGTGGATTTGATTTAGAACTGGCTTTGTTCTGTCATTTCTGTGCAATAAAACTCCTGATCTATAGATTGATCTATATAAAAACATTACTTATGTTTCTGTCCCATATTTATATGACACTAAGGGGAGTACCATTTCCATCCTTATGAACTTGTGAATATCTTGCATGCCTATTAATAACAGTAGTTAAAGAAATAAATAATAACAGCCTCTCACTGTTCATACTTGCCAGCGGAATGGCTGAGTGGCTCAACATGCAGGGCTCAGAGCAACTGGGGCGGCTGTGGCTGAGTGGTCAGGGTAGTCACTCCTCTAATGCGAGAGTTGGCAGTTCAATTCCCCACTATTCTGACATATGTCAAAGTGTCCCTGGGCAAGACACTGAACCCTCACTGCCACTAATCTCTGAATGTGATTTAAAGCACTGACTAGTCTATATCGAATAATTTATCTGTATTAGCTTTGTATGGAGATCTAGTAGAGTGCTGTGTGAATGGGTAAATTAAGTGGGGTACCAAACACCCAGTCTGTTAGAGGATGCACTGACCTTTTTAATTTTAATTACTCTGTCTGTTTTCATTCACAGAGAGAGCTGTACCAGCGTGTGTTTGAAAAATGTCCAGATCGTCACTCGGACTTCTCCCGCCTGGCCCGGATCCTGACAGGAAACAGCATCGCCCTGGTGCTTGGTGGAGGAGGTGCCAGGTAAAGTCCCTTTGAACAGTAATACAAGGAGCAAATTAGAAAATAGTAACTAATCTTTGGTGGCCATTTTCCTTTGTGTTGACTCCGAAAGGCAATCAGTTGTAAATGTACATCCAATGAGTGCTTTCTGATAACTTTATTCAAACCTGTTGTGGTGCATGAGATACTTTGTTAAGAGACAAACATGGTTAACTTCCACAGTCACTGTTAAGATCATGTACAACAGTGGTCCCCAAACTGCGGCCCGCGGGCCGGATCCGGCCCACCTCCCCATTTGGTCCGGCCTCCAGAACAATACCAGAGAGCATTTAGTTTTTTTTTCATATATGTGTATTTGTATTTGATTATAAAGTTGGACTTTTGCAACAAAATGTTCCTTAGTTATGAACTATTTTCATTATTAACTATTATTAGTTAGTAACTATTTCATACATACACACATATAACGTGACATTCTGTTCCCCCCTTCTGCGGTCTGTGCCCCTATCTGACAACCCCCAGAAAAAAATCCTAAACCCGCTCCTCTCAAAGACAGAACGGAATAATGGTGAAAAGATTAGGTAAGAGAAAAATTGATTCAGAATGCAGGGCATTTAAGCTGCAGTGGACAAATGATTATTTTTTTGTTCATCTGTCAAGAGGCGGTGGCGGTATTCAAAGAATACAGTCTGCGGTGACACTATGAATACCGTCACAAAGACAACTATGATAGCTTGCGAGGCCAAATGCGAGCAGACAAACTCTCAAAGCTAAAAAGTGGACTGTTAGCTCAGCAGAATACATACTGTGAAGAACCCAGAGAGGGTTTGATATGATTGTGCTTTCTGGAAAACAATAAATTTTTTTTACATTTAGGCACTCCTGCAATAGTCACACTTTTTCTGTTACAAACTGACTCCAGCCCCCCACCAGAGAAGGGAAAAGTTATGTGGCCCTTACAGGGAAAAGTTTGGGGACTCCTGATGTACAATCTAGAACAGAGATTCTTAACCTGTGGGCCGTGAGCGCCACCTTGAGGGCCTCAAAAGAACAACAGTTTTTAAATTTGGGCCGCGGGACCGTTTTGAATAAGGTGCAATACACTTTTTCACCACTAGTAGCGGTAGTGCGCCACTCAGATGTTTAACAACTTTTTTTAATACTTAGAAGAAGAACCTTAGAAACCTGTCAAGAATGGAAACCTATTTTAAATTAAAAGTAGAAGACAAAAATGAAGGTAACTCATCAAAAAATGCTAAAGTTTGTCACTAATATGAAGTGCAGCTTCTGTTTTTACCATGCAATATTTTAAAAGTTCAAAACATTATCAAATACAGTTGCAGATACAACTATATATTAATTTGCACTTTATCAAATAAATTTTTGTAATTTATTTTTAAGCATTTTGTCAAAAAGCTGTTGTTACTGTTATTGTTTGTCAGTAATATGAAAAGCAGCTTCTGGTTGCAAAAGTTTAAAAAGGRMTTATTTTCATTTGCACTTTATCAAATTTATTTTTACATTTTTTTTTATTTGGAACATTTACATTAAGTATTTTGAATGTATTTATTTTATGAACACAATTTTATTGATTGAATTGTCTATTTTTGCTGTTTATGTTAAAAAATATTTTTGTGTTGATAAGTCTGAGTGGTCTGCTGACTGACTGTTGTATTTGTTCAAATAATTGTTTTGGGCAGGTTACAATATAAAAAAATGTTTGTCATAATCATGTCGTGGATTATTTGACAGGAATTTTACTTTTAAACTGTAAGTGTATTTAATTTAGTTATAATGCAAATACAAATTAAACCAAGATTTAGAATAGTTATAATTTTAAACCAAGATTTAGAATATTATCATTTTGATCCATATGGTAAAGTGTGACTGGGCCTCGTGTCACTTTTTGTGGAGCAAACTGGGCTCCGAAGTCAAAAAGGTTAAGAACCCCTGATCTAGAATACACTGTCCCAGAGAGTTCTGGATCTCCAGAACCTCCTAGCAGTGGGATGTACTCAGGAAACCCCCAAAGCGAGGTGTCCAGGAGACATCGTAATCAGATGCCTGAACCACCTCAACTGACTCCTCTTAGTGTGGAGGAGCAGTGGCTGTACTCCAAGCTCCCCAAGAATGATAGAGCTCAGAAGTGCCTGAGCCTGGCCACCCTCTGGAGGAAGATCATTTCGGCCGCTTGTATCCAGGATCTGGTTCTTTCGATCGTGATCCACGCCTCATGATCACAGGTGAGGGCTGGAATGTAGACAGACCAGTAAATCCAGAGCTTTGTCTTTCAACTCAGCTCTTTCTTCAGCACGACTGACSGAAGCAATGCCCTCATTACTGAGGACGAGGCCCCAATCCGTTGATTCATCTTCTGCTCCATCCTTTCATCACTCGTTAACTAAACATCCAGAAACTTACGCTCCTCCAACTGAGTTTTTACAGATTTTGTGCAAAAGTGTTGTGTGGTACGTGAGCCTCAACACATAAACTGAGTGCTACAGTGCCTGAAAGTTTTCACCCCCTTGTATCTTTTATGCATTTGTTGTTGTTATAAATCAGGCAGAGTCAATATAAATTGGGCATTTAAATAGCCAAGCGGGTGGATACTTTTTATTTGCACTGTACATGAAATACAAAATTTTGCTTAAATGTTTGGAATTAAATATTGAACAAACCCTGTTAGCAAAATATTTCATGACCGATTTGATTGTTTTAATGATTTTTCTTKGGAAATAGTAAATAGATTTACCTCTACAACTAAGTCCAGATGTTGGCAACATCAAACTGACCTTAGAAAACACAAAATGGCTATTAATGAGTTTTATATATATTATGTTAAAATTTGTTGTGGCAGTAGCTGAGAGTCATTTAAAACACATATGTTTCATTAAATATTGCAGAATTGTATATAATCTTTCTTAATCTTATTTATTAGATTTTACCAAGAAGTCTATAACTCATTTCTCAACATAAGATGATCTTAGTTTTAAACTCTGGCATGAAAAGACAGTGGGTGATATGCATTCTTCAAAGTAATGCTAACCCTTTATTTAAGACGATTTACTTCTGAGTGTATTTTTGCTCATTGCTTTAAATTTTTACACACTGGCATGTTTTTCAGCAGTAGAAACACTTGTTGATTGATTGTGTGGATATCAGATAATGACTATTTCTTTTCTTATTCATCTGTTTCTCGTCTTCACTGTTCTGGCTTGTCCTGGAGGACTGGCAAGGTAGGGGTTGGACTTCCCTCAGAAATGACCCTGAACACCTGAGGGTCATGTGACTCCAGTTACATGATGCTTTTACATGTGCTCCATGTAAAAGTTGGTTGTGTGTGATTTGTGCTGTCTGTGTGAGGGATTCTGGATGTTAAATACCAGATTGTCAGTTTTAGCGACACAGCAGAAACCTTTTGTTGTGTTATAATTCTTATTAAAATCATTGCAGCAAAGAAATTAAGAAAAAAAACTGCTGCCTGTTCCCCATTCCCCAATCACAATCATGAAAAGTCACTGAAACTTGAAAAAAGTGTACATTCTATATTATTCTAAGTTGTATTTGACCCTTATTTAAAACAATTTTATATTCTGGTTTTATAATCGATGGTGGGAGCAGCTAACCAAATTAAACTGCTACATAAGTTTATTATTTCCACTACCAATGAAATGCTAAATTGGTTAAYAAAATGTTAGAGTCTAAAGCGAATCTGTTAATATTAAATGTGTTAACGTCTAATCCAACACATGGCAACAAGATTTAATGTGCCATTGCACTCTTATTATGTTTTTCAGCACCCTGTTGCCGACTCCTCAGTAAGAAAAGTAGCTACTGGCTGTCCTAAAAGCTGCTAGAAGTCACTAGATGTCATCACTTAGTTTGCATATTTGGACATTTGCCAAAAACTATGATCTAGGCCAGTTGTTCACAAAGTTGGGGTTGGGACCCACAGTGTGGTCCTGACACATCAAGGTGGGGTCCTTAAAATATTTTCTGAATAAATTACACAAAAGAATGACAACTACCTTTTTTTTTTGCTTTTGTTGTTAGAAAAGAATAACATTAGTGTACTTAAAATGGACAAAAATAGTGTAATAAATAACGTTACTATGCACTTGATTATTTGACGTGAAAACAATGTATATCAACCTTCAAAAGCTGGGGGCACAGGTCTTTACTGCTGGCATTTTATGGGTCAAAATCTGAAAAGTTTGGGAACCACTGATCTAGGCTGTAGGAGAGATGTATATCAGTGTTACAGAGAAAAAAAGTAAGAAAAAACTCCAAATGAAGTTAATGAAATGATCTCATGGCTTTAATGCTTTGCTTAGATCCATACAACAAAAAAAATTGTTGACAATATCAAATTTAACCAACTGTTAGATGTCACAGAGACACACAGGACGAGGTGAAGAAGTGAATTCAACCTGYTTCAGAGATTTGATCTTGCGCCTCAGTGTCAGAGAAAAACATTCCAGTAAAAATTACATCCTGCTCTCTCCTGTTCATGCAGTGAACATCAGCAGCTTTGCACATGCCTGATCATTTGCAGTGGTCTCCTCTCAGCTGACTGCAGCTGGGGGTTCAGTGAGTCGGACCACTCATCAGTGCTTTGGAAAGTGAAAGGGGATCACTCGCTATTTGCTGAGAAAAGTGCTGTCACCAAAAGTCTCTAAAAACACTGGAAAAAGCCCTAGAGGTTGCTTTTTTTGGACAAAAACATGTGTTAGACATGTCTGAAAACTGACTCTGACCTTTATGTAACGATTTCAGTTTTACAGTCAATAACTAAACTTCAACACAGATACCAAATAAAACATGTAATGAGACAAGTCAAACCAACTCAAAATGCTTCACATACCTCACATAAAAGCATTTATGTCTCTCTTAGAGGTAAAATTTGAGAAAATAAAAATGTGAAACTGCATTGCATGCTGGGTAATGACCACTATTTTTATGATAAAGCKYGTAGGCAGAGCTACAGCTGACAAARAAATGCAGGAGGGGAAAAAAGGCATTAAAAATTACAGCCTGTGAAAGAGTTTCTGCTTATTTAGTTCTCATATTCAAACACTGTTACCACTAACAACTGAATATTTGTATGATAAAAGCWAAGATTTGTGTTGTCATTTTTTTTTTATTATTTTGCAACAAACTCAGTAAATCATCTTTATGACTGAAGGACGTCCCAGCTGCAAAGGATGCTGGGAAAATGTTTATTCATTTATTTATTCAGACTTTTTACAATAGCTTGAACTTCGGAGCGTGGACTTTGTTTTTTTTTTCTTTTGACAAATTCTTATTCAGTTTTTATTCAAAATTTATATTGAAGTCTGTTTTTGCCTGTAAACTGAAATCATGAGTCAAAAATAATACATAAAGATTTTTAGCAGGAAAAAATTACAGATATTAATTTAGTGAGAGTTAAATTTGTTATTTATAAAGTTAATACTGATGGTGAGTTTGTGGATGAGTGGAACTGTGCCCACCACTGCTTAAAATAATAACAGAACAATAATCACATGTAGTTATATGTGATATAATAACCATCCCAGGAGTTGAGTCCTCAGTAAATTCACCCCAACATCAGACTGTGCAATGCTCAGAGCTCCACCTCAGACAGTACAGGCCTCAGTTAGCAGGTTAAAGGTCATGAAAGGACAATTAGAAAAGAAAAAAAGTATGACTGGTGGAGGGATGATGATGAGTCAAACACAAACTCCTCTGTAGACCAAAGAATTGTAGAATCAGTTGTGAGCTCATCTGTCTGACAGATGGACCTGGATAATTTAACAGAATAATGATCCCAAACACAGCAGCTCTACAACAGAACAGCTGAGAAATATATGAATCACTGGGTTGTAAAGGTCCAGTTAAAATCCAGAACCTCGATCTGACTGGAGTTCTGTAGGGCCTGACTGAAACAAACATCTGAAAACCTCAGTAAACTGAAGCTATGCTGGAAAATAGAGTGGGTCAAAATTCCTCTCCAACCATGTGAGAGACTGATGAAGTCTAACAAAAACCTACTTTTTTGATTGTTTTATTCCTTTTTCAGACTGGTTTGTTTGATTTTTAGTTTCAGTTTAATAATAATAAAATATCTGCTGTTGATTTGTCAAAGTTACATCTACATAGCTTTATGACCTGGGAAG